ACATTCACTCTTTCCCCCTTTGCCAACTGGATGTTGAGTCCAGGGCAATTCTGTGAGCCCCTCACCTGCTGACTCCATCAGCATGGGTGTGTGAGTAGAGCAGAAAACCCTCCACTCCCACATCTGCTACCAAATGAACGTTTCATTAGCAAAAAAATAAACTTGTATTGTATTTAAACCACTGAGATTAAAAATTTACTTGCTACCATTGCTTGTATTACCTGGCTAATAAAATGGGTCTACAGTGGGCAAATGAATTTTCTACTCTGACTGAAAGGACGGACCATCTCAATCAAAAAGCAATTCTTGGGCTTCCCTGGTGGCGCAGTGGTTGAGAGTCCACCTGCCGATGTAGGGGACGCAGGTTCATGCCCCGGTCTGGGAAGATCCCACATGCCGCAGTGCGGCTGGGCCAGTGAGCCATGGCCGCTGAGCCTGCGCTTACGGAGCCTGTGCTCCGCAATGGGAGATGCCACAACGGTGAGAGGCCCGCGTACCGCAAAAAAAAAAAAAAAAAAAAAAAAAAAAGAGAGGCCACAACAGTGAGAGGCCCGCGAAAAAAAAAAAAAAAAAAAAAAAAAAGCAATTCTTTCAGCTAACCAACTTTTTTGAGAGAATACTTAGTGGTGGTGGTTGAATTGATCAAGTGTTTGACTGAAATGGGACTAGGCACACTGAGCCTGGGCAAAGACTGGGAACAGCAATAGAAAGTGCAGAGGATGGGACTTCCCTGGCGGTCCAGTGGTTAAGACTCCACGCTTCCACTGCAGGGGGCACGGGTTTCGATCCCCGGTCAGGGAACTAAGATCCTGCATGTCGTACAGCACAGCCAAAAAAAAACAAAAAGGAAAGTGCAGAGGAAAAACATCTGGAGACATGGGAGGCCAGGGCTGCAGGATTTTATGAATGGCTACACCCAAAGTGATGGGCCACTTGGGGAGAAATGGTGAGACTCTGTCAACTCAACATGGAAACCTCACTAAATGTGTCCTAAATGAGATAAGGCCCATCCAGCACCTATACACATCAAAGGCCTACACTGGGTATGATGGCCATATGTGAAAAGACTGAAATAAGTAAACATATCTAGTAGAAAACGGGCCTTTAGTAAATGCTTTTTGGATCAATGAATGAACAAACAAGCAAGCAAATGAAAGAATGAACTGACATTTGGGGGGAAATGAGGCCATCAGCTGTTGAATACACATCTATCAAAGTTCTGTTGATATCATATACACTGATGTGAAGGGCAAACCTATATCAGAATCCTGCCTAGATAACTATTAAATTGAGTATTTCACAATTAATTGAGTGCTTTTATCTTTGTTATCCTTATAACTATCCTGTGAATTCACAAAACAGATACTAACTTCAGGTCTCATTTTTTTAAAAAATATTTATTTATTTGGCTGCACCGGGTCTTAGTTGCGGGAAATTGAGCTATTTGTAATGAGGTGGATAGACCTAGAGTCTGTCATACAGAGTCAGAAGTCAGTCAGAAAGAGAAGGACAAATACCGTATGCTAACACATATATATGGAATTTAAGAAAAAAAAAATGTTATGAAGAACCTAGGGGTAAAAGGAAGAAAGACACAGACCTACTGGAGAACAGACTTGAGGATATGGGGAGGGGGAAGGGTGAGCTGTGATAGGGCGAGAGAGAGACATGGACATATATATACTAACAAACGTAAGGTATATAGCCAGTGGGAAGCAGCCGCATGGCACAGGGATACTGGCTCGGTTCTTTGTGGCTGCCTGGAGGGGTGGGATAGGGAGGGTGGGAGGGAGGGAGACAAAGAGGGAAGAGATATGGGAACATATGTATATGTATAAATGACTCACTCTGTTATAAAGCAGAAACTAACACACCATTGTAAAGCAATTATACCCCCAATAAAGATGTTAAAAAAAACAAACAAACCTGGGCCCACTGAATTGGGAGCCCAGAGTCTTAACCACTGGACCACCAGGGAAGTCCCCAAGTCTCATTTTCGTTCCATTTTTTCTCTGGCTCATCCTCCGCTATGTAGAACAGGCATTTGGTTTAGCATGACAAAGTAGAACAAGCCAGAGCTTTGTAGACACACAGGCTGATTCTTCCATTCTCAATGGGATGGCCTCTTAAATCTATTCAATTCTTTCCATGTCTATTGCCACTACCCTAATCTAAGTAAAAATCATTTCTCACAAAGAGAAATGCTCTACCAAATCAGCCTCCTAACTTGCCACCCCATGCGCACTTCTGTCCCCTTTTCCAACCCATTCTCCACACTGTAGCCCGAGTGGTCTTCCTAGAACCCAAACCTGTTCATGCCATACCTCTGCCTTAAGCTCATCAATGACGTGTCATTAATCTTAGATTCAAATCCAGAATCCTTAACTGACCTATAAGACAACTGATCCCTGCTTACCTCGCAAGTCTCGTCTCAGATCACCTGTCACTCTCTTCCTTTCACTCTAAGTTCCAGCTGGACTGAACTTCTCCCAACATCTCGGTCACTCCAAGTTCTCTGACATCAGGGCTTTATCATCTGCTCCTCACTCTGCCTTGAAGACTCCTTTCCCCTTTCCTACTGCCTACCAGCTTCCACTTTGGCAAACTCCTTCTCACCCTTCCTCTGAAAGGGCTTTCTAGACTCACTAGACTATATTTCATCCTTTGCCATCCTTTTCCATACAACCCTCTGTTTTCTTTCCATAGTGGAACTTACAACTGTATTTACTTCTCTACTATCTTTACCACTAGACAGTGAGCTTGCTGAGAATGGGGATCATTTCTTCAGTCCCATAGTTCTGAGATCACGATACGTGCTCAATAAGTAGCTGTTGAATTTGATTCAATTGAATTTCAAAGACTACATATAAAATAAATCAAGATGAGGTGAAAAAATAAAAAATTAAATTTTCTTTGCATAAGATTGTTAGGGTAAAACATTGATTTATTTTATCACAACGTTTACCCCAAATGCTATACAAATATAAAGTTTTATTTTAATAACTCACTCCTGCACAAATGAAAGATGACACCAATTGAAATAGACTAAGTTGATGCTGCAGATGGTATGAGGACAGATAAAATAATGCCATCTGTGAATGTATAAAAGACAGCCAGATAGCTGCTCCCTCAAAAATTATAAAGGTTGTCTGAAATATGGAAAGATAAAAGCAAAAGAGGTTAATAAAAACCTAAATCACATTTACGAAGTCTTCCAAAAGACTTTTAAAAAAATACTTTCTTGGAAAATAGAAAGGTAGTAGCTTTTTTTAGCCTTGTGACAGCCCAGACAAAAGCCTGTTCACTATGAATCACTTTCACATTAACCCAGCCTTTACTTGTTAGGGAGGTAACAGCTCAGAGGTTAAGAATTTGGGCTGAAAACGTAAATGACCTCAGTTCAAATCCAGGCTCTTCCATTTACCAGTAATTTAGACTTGCCCTATTTTCTCCATCTATAAAATGGAAATAATAATGGTCCCTAACTGACAGAGTTGTTACAAGAATTCAATGAAATAATACACATTAAGCACTTAGCACAGTGCCTGGTACATACTAACTACTCAATACATGTTAGCTGTTACCACCATTATTATTACAGAGATCTTTATTTGGTTATGAAATGTGTTTGGTAGGCATCACAGAGAAGAGCTCAGAGGAGGGAGAAACAGCACCCAAAACATAAGCTTGGAAATAACTATGTGTAGACAAGCCTTTAGGCATAGATATGCAAAAAGGTGCTCTGTGCAAAGTGAACAGGAAAGGATTACACAAGGAAAGCTAGTTCTGGCATCTCAAGTGCTACATCTGACTGGTAGTAGTGGCCTGAAATACTGTGCTAAGATTGGTTAGTAGGTACATTGAGAAAGAATGCCATAACCAACTATAGACATCTAACATGGGCAGGGAGAGGGGGAGACGGGGAGAGGGTGTGAGGCACTGTTTACCACCACGAATTTCTTATCACTGGGGCAGCTATACTTCCACTTTTATCTCCTATAAGCAGATCAGAATGCAAATCAATAAAAAATGACTTCTAATCAAGTTTTTTAAATAAAATGGTATATCTCAGAACTGTTCTTTAATTAGCAGGTATAAGACTTTCTAAATAACCGTAATAAAATAATAGGTCAGGGGCTTCCCTGGTGGCGCAGTGGTTGGGAGTCTGCCTGCCGATGCGGGGGATACGGGTTCGTGCCCCGGTCCGGGAGGATCCCACATGCCGCGGAGCGGCTGGGCCCGTGAGCCATGGCCACTGGGCCTGCGCGTCCGGAGCCTGTGCTCCACAACGGGAGAGGCCGCAGCGGTGAGAGGCCCGCGTACCGCAAAAAAAAAAAAAAAAAATAGGTCAGACCACCAGAACAGAAAACAATTATTTTGGTGCAGTCAATGAGAGAGATCAACAAAACAGGAAATAGCACTGTCAATTAAATGAGGATAAAGATATTATTCCAAGATGCCCTATGGTATTCTATAATTGATCTTACCACATGATACATTCTAAACAAATGAAAAGAGGATACCTGAGTCATTCATTTCACTCCATATGACAAAAAACAATGAATCTGAGGTCCTGGGGATGACAAGTATTCTTTACCACCAAAGATCCAACGAGTAAATGTGGG